GAGGCATCAGGTTGGGCCTTTAAGTCCACAAATTGACAGTCAGTGGGTGTGGGCTACCTCTGATAAGGCACCTGACTTTGGTTGGGCGAGGCTGCTGTCTTTAGATAAGACCAGAGGGGATACTCAACTGTGTGCTCTCAGCTATCACCAGTGAAGGCTTTGGGGGGAATTCTGGGTAGTGTCCCGTAGCATCCCCAACATCCAGCTTCTACTCTGGGCCAGATGTTGTGTTATGAACTTTCATGGAGGTCATTTTATTTCAACTTCACAGCAAACCTGAAGAATAACGAATGAAGAGAGCCATGTTATTTTTAGTACTGTCCATAGTCCAGTGGTTTACAAACTTTAGTTCATACAATTAGTTCTTAACAACTCATCAAGGTTGGAATCACCTGTTGCATCTGGTGGAAGAGAAATGGGCAGTTCAGAAAAGCCAAGTGGGCGCTCAGGACATCAACCCAGCTCTGTTCACATCAGAGCGGAGCGCCTCCCACTAGGCAGTACTGATCTATTTTATAGATGGGTAACTTGAGGTTTAGTGAGATGAAATGACTTTCCCAAAGTTCAGAGCTAGTCGGGTCAGAGTTGGGGCTTAACTCAGGTCTGTGGGATGCTCTTTCCCAAGCACCACGCTGCTTTGCATAAGTGAGCAAGTTGTACATTAGGGAACAGGAGTAAGACCACGATGTAGTGGGGGAAGGGGTGAGGAGAGGGGGACAGGAAGGTAGCTAAGATGCCGCTCAACTTCCCTAATCTCTGTTAACTTCATCCCTGGTGCTTCAAGGGCTTTTAAGACTTTCCAGAAAGCCGCAGTGTATGGGCTTTGAGTGTCTCACTAGGGCTGGCACAGAAAGCTTTAGAAAATTACATCTCTGATTTGCTCCCCGCGCCCCCCTCCTCTACTGCTATATCAGCTTTGAGAAGTTAGCCACGACTTCGAGGAGGTGGTGGGATAGAAGCTTTGACTTTGGGCATAGTAAGTTACAAATGAAGTCTGGTGTTTTGGCTGTATTTGCTACACTTGGCTTGCAGTTGGGGGCCAGTAGATGGCGCTCACCCTCCATGTCCCTCTGTCGTGTATTAATATTAATAGCTAAAAGTTATTGAGAAGTTGCTAAGTGCCTGGTAAGTTCTTTTGCTAAGTAACTGTAGTATAGTCTACATAAAATTTCTCATTTAATCCTTACCACAACTCTTTAAGTTAGGTATTGCTATTCTTAATTTATAAATGAGGGTAAGTAATTTACCAAGTAACAAAGCTAGTTCAGGATGAGCCAAGCCAGGATTTAAACCAGGCGGTCTGATTTAGAACCTTGACCTTTACATTCGCTCTCTATCTTCCCAATTATTATGTTATGATGACAATTGGGCACTTACTATGTGATAGTTTGTCAAGTTTCCTTCATTTTATTTATTATTATTATTTTTTAATCCTCACCCGAAAATATTTTTTCTATTGATTTTTAGAGAGAGTGGAAGAGAGAGGGAAAGACAGAGAGAAATACTGATGTGAGAGAAACACATCGATTGGTTGCCTCTGCATGGGCCCTGACCAGGGCCCAGGCTGGGGAGGAGCCTGCACCTAGGTACGTGCCCTTGACCAGAATCAAACCTGGGACCCTTCAGTCCACAGGCTGATGCTCTATCCACTGAGCCAAACCAGCTAGAGCCAAACTGATTTGTATAGAGAGAGGAAGGGAGAGGGAGAGAGAACCATCGATGTGAGAGGATAACATCAATCAGGTCTCCTATTGGTGATGGAGCCCATGTGTCATGACCTGGAATCAAAGGACACCCAATCAATTGAGCAACACCAGCCAGGGCTCTATACAATTTTAAAAGTGAGAAGAGAGAGAATAGAAAGGTAACTCATTGCCAAGATATAGCTAATTAGTGGGACCCAGACTGGAATCCAGGTTTCCTAGGCTGTGAATCCCTAAAAGTTTATCTTCGGAGGGATGACAAAAATGAGAATATTGGCCCACTCCGATTCATTGGGGTTCTAGGATTGGGAGACACCCTTAGATTCTCTGTGTAAGCACCTTCTGCTTCCTGGAAGAGACTCTTCTCAGAGGGTTTAACATGCTGGGAGGAGCCAGGCTTTGACTTCTCTGTGTGGCTTCAGCTCAACCTTCCTCCCATTAAACTTCGCTGAGCTTCTGCTCCCTTGGTGGTAAACATGCGGATATCATAGTCCCAGCCTTGTGGTGTTGCTGTGAGACCAGAGTCCAGGCAGGGAAGGGGTCCCTTTCCCTCCCTCTAAGAACCGACATGGTGTAAGAAGGTTCAGGAGGAGCTTTGGGCACAACTTTTCCTAAGTGGATCAGAGGCCTATAAACAAATCCAAAAGAGAGAGATTTTATATTGCAAATTTGGGAGGTGCAGTCTCCAGCAACAAACTGAAAGTCTGCTCCACAAACAAAGGTAGGCCATTAAAAAAAAGTTACAGACATTCCTGCCCAGTTCCTAATTATGCCATTTTATGTAAAGGATGTAACCAGATTCACATGGTTCTGATTGATCTGAATCCTGCAGTTTTGATTGGTGTTAGCATTCTGATTGATTGTTATGGAAGAGTCTGATTGGACAGGGCAGGTCTCAGGCCATTGGTTGAAAGGCCAAACCAGAAACCCTTTATAAGAGCTGATGCAGGCTGAAGTAAATGAGCAGGGCTTAGTGTGGGAAGCTGATAGAGGTTATTCCTGGTATATGTGAGACCATCAGATGACCTCTAGAGACTCATTATTTGTAAAACTAGAATGCATGCACCAGTGGGGTCCCTCAGCCTCGCCTGTGGGAATCAGGCAAAAACCAGTTCTCCGACATCCCCTGAGGGGTCCCGGATTGCTAGAGGGTGAAGACCAGGCCGAGGGATCCCACCAGTGCATGATTGGGGCCTGGGAGAGAAGAGGGAAGTTGGCCAGCCAGGGGGGGCCATGAGAGGGCTCTAGGGCATGTCTGGCCATCAGTCCTGATTGGCCAGACCCTAGCAGCAAGCTAACTGAACAGTCAGCATCTGCTGCTGGTCAGTGCACATCATAGTGACTGGTCGACTGTCTGCTCTCTGGTGGTCAGTGCACATCATAGTGAGCAGCTGAGTGGCCTTAGCATATCATTAGCATATTATGGTTTCATTGGTTGAACAGCCAAACGGTTGACCAACACTTAGCATATTAAGTTTTTATTATATAGGATATATAGGATTTGGGCCTTTGGCTGACCATAGGGAGTCCACCTTAGCAGTTAAATTCTTTCTCAGTGTCCACAGGCCCTTTAAAATTGATGCCTCCCCTTCTGGAGATGCTGAAAGAAGCAATTACTTAATGCATTTCTTTGTGGATTTGCTTAATGCCTCTTTCCCCTTCTGGCCTAGATGGTTTATGTTTCAGGGCTGAACTGGGAGACCAGAGGGTTGAAACTGCAGTCCCCATGGTCTTTTACAGTTCCAGAATCCACCCCCACTTTCTACCCCACTTTGTGGCCCTTCTCAGATTGAAGAGCTGGAATCAATGAAATAGAAGGTGGGACAAGAAGGTTCCTATAGAAAATAATAAACAAGAAGACAAGAATAAGCTTATGTTTCATGTACTCACAACTGTAAACCTACTTTTGCCCCACCCTGTGTTTTACTGTACTCGTTCTTTTCCTTTTTTTATCCAATAGATGGCGACAAGTTTCCACTGGAAAAAATAAAATAAAATCCAGCGTTCACGGTTCAGCCTGTGTTGTGGGAGGAGGCCTTTGGGAGTGGTTGAAATGATCCAGACTGAGGAGTCTCCTTTGGGAGGCATTAAGCACCCTCAGGGCACAAGTAGGCATTCATCTCCACCCAGAGGGACTTCTCTGGAGTCCTTTTAAGGGGCATTTCTTCCCAACACAGCAAGCACAGATACAGACTTCATATTTGTAGGAAATGTTCCATTTTGTTCCCAGAACAAGGATCTATATAAGAATATATATATATTCTTGCTAAATCCCAGAGGGGACCCAATCTTAATGGTTAGGAGTTGAGCCCGATCTCATGGGTGAATCTCAAGCTATTTTGCAAGGCATGGACATGTCTCAGTGAATTTTGGATTACACCTGGGAGCTTCTGAACAAGGTAGGCTGTGGAATCAGACACGCGGAATCAGAATCTGCTTATTAATTAATTAGTTTACTTATTTATTTGTAACAGTCGTCAGCAGGAAGCCCAGACGCTGCGCTGTGGAAGAGCTCTGCCCATGTGATCCAACCTCGCACCTCCCACCCTGGCATCCCTCCCACTACCTCCCCCCCACCTCCCCCCCAGTGGTGCTGCGATTCAAACCATTCAAACCCCCTTGGGCTGCCGCTGCCCAAAGATTGCAGTTTAACAAGCAACCCAGGTGACTTCTATACTCAGTAAAGCCCAAACTCCCAATGCCCTTGCACATTGGGCTCAGTAGATAGAACATCATCTCTCTCTCGGTCTTTCCTTCTCTCTTCCATTCTCCCTAAAATTCAATGGAAAATATCCTCAGGCGATGATGAACATAAAAGAAAGGAAAGAAGGAAGGCCCACAAGCATGAAAGACAACTGCTGGGATTGAGGGAGGCGCAGGGTGCAGAAGCCAGAGTAAGATAGCGTGGGCCAAGGCAGGAATCAGGCCCAAGGGGGGGTGTTGTGCCCGAGAGGAGCAGCTACCCATGCACTCTGGACGGACTCTGCACACAGCCTGCCCCCAGAGACGGCTTCAGGTACTTGTTCCAGCAAAACCCTCAGCTGGAGCCTCCTCCCGTCTTTCCCCTCCAGTGGAAGTTGGCAAGGAAAAAGGACCAGCAACACCAGGTGCAAAGACACAAGTAGCCCTGGCACCACGTTTTTAGAGAGAGCAAACATCGAGCTTAAGTGTTCTTATTTCAAATTCAAAATGTCCTTTCCAAAGTCGCTGTTCCGGCCCCAGACAGCAGCCGGGAACACTGGGGACAGCCTTGGCCATGACGCCCTCCGCGCCCGGGCCAGGGAATGTGCGGAGCTGTCACTCCGGGTCGGCCAGCTGCCGCTCAATGGCGCTGCGGACCTTCTTAGCAGCTTCCTTCAGTCCTTCCTGCTGTCGGTGGACTTCCTTCATGATTCTGTTCTTGGCTCTGTCTTTGTCCAGTTCCAAAAATTCGCCGACGGACAGCTCTTCCACCCGCTTCGTGAGAGACAGGAAAGCACAACCGGGCGAGTGCTTCCGATGCTCCTCGGTGGGGTCGTCGCCGGGCTCCCAGCCTTCCAGCTCCTTGAAGCAGAAGAAACACTCGACCAAGTCGGGCTCGTTCTCCGTGGGGCAGTAGACGAAGCCGGCCGCGGCCATCCGCTCGGGGGTGCAGGCGCAGCCCTCCCGGAAGGGCCAGTGCTTGAAGGTGGAGAGCCGGTGGTCTTGAAGGTAGTGCTGCCAGGGCTTGGGCAACGACCGGGCAGCCATCGCACCGAGCGGTGCCTCGATTCAAACCCCAACCTCGGTGGTGGTCGGCCGCTGCCCAGAATCTGTTTGATCACAAGCAGCCCAGGTGACTCCTATACTCCTTCACGTTTGAGAAGTGCTGGCCGACAGGATCTCAGATGGAAAGGATTCCTCCTGCCAGCCCACAGGTAGCTCGTTCTCTTTCATTCAGCGGGGGAATGAACGCTAAGCTAGCTGTGTCATCCTGTGTCATCTTTGCAGTGTTATTATTCCTAAAGGACATTTATATATAGTCCTATATGGTCGCTGTACCTCCCCAGCAGTACGTTGGCTCAGTCCCATTTACAGCTGAGCTAAGGAGGCTCAGAGGTGCGGGAGTAGCCTGTAGAAGAGAGAGGTGAGCTCAGGTTTCTACGTCCATCGTGATTGGATTTCAAATTAGTGTAAGTGATACAAATAATAGCTAACATGCAATGCATGCCACGTACCAGGCCGTTATGTTAAATAGGAAATATATTATTTCAGATAATCCCTCTTATAATTCTAAGGTGAGGCTACTATGATTGTCACCATTTCACAAATGAGAAAACTACAGCATAGAAAGGTCATTACACTTGCTGAAGGCCCTGCAGCTGCTAAATAAATGATAGATCTCGGATTATAACTCCAGCCAGTATGATTTCAAGCCCGAGAGCTTACACGCGGGAGATTTAGCTCCCTCCAAGGGCTGTATAAATTCCGGGTATATATGCCAGTTTGAAACACTTAACTATGATTATAACCTACTTTGGAGTAAATCATTATTTTGAGCTTAAAATGAATAATTGTACCAGGACATTCTTCCCCAATGTTTAGTACCTTTTCTTAGTACCCGTATCAGTTTCCTAGGACAGCCGTAACGAAGTCCCACAAACTGAATGGCTTAACACGATAGAAATTTACCAGTTCAGGAGCCAAGATGTGTGAAATCCAGGCACCAGCAGGGCCAAGCTCCCTCTGAGATTTTGGGGACAGAATCCTTCCTGCTTCTTCCTAGTTTCTGATGGCTTGCTAGCCATCCTTGGCGTTCCTTGATTTGTAGCTGCATAACTCTAAGCTCTGCCCTTGTTTGCACATGGCCTTCTCCCCTCATGTTGGATTAAGGGCCCACTCTACTCTAGTGTGACCCCCAACAATTTAATTACATCTGTCATAACCCTATATCTGAATAAAGTCACATTCTGTGGCACTGGGAATTAGGACTTCAAGATTTTTATTTGTGGGAGGAGTGGGGGGGGGGGGCGGCCACAATTCAACCTATAACAGCATCTGATGAGGTAGAAACGTGGCCAGGTGTGTGGGTTCCAGAATCAGAATGCCAGGGTTCAAATCCTGACTCTGCCACATAAGCTGGGTGACTCAGAGCAAATTGCTTAGGCCAGTGATCGGCAAACTCATTAGTCAACAGAGCAAAATATCAACAGTACGACGATTGAAATTTCTTTTGAGAGCCAAATTTTTTAAACTTAAACTATATAGGTAGGTACATTGTTATTAAGTTAATTAGGGTACTCCTAAGGCTTAGGAAGAGCCACACTCAAGGGGCCAAAGAGCCGCATGTGGCTCGCGAGCCGCAGTTTGCCAAGCACAGGCTTAGACTATCTGACCTTCACTTTTCTCCTATGTCAATTAGGAGAAGCTCCGAGGGTTGTCATGAATTAATACACCTAAAGCACCTATCCAGAACAATGTTGTAGTAGAAACAGCTGGTGCCCCTCTGAGATCCCTTTACCACAGTGGTTCTCAACCTTGGCTGCACATTAGAATCACCTGGGAATCTTTTTAAAATCCTGATTTCTGGGCTCATCCTCCGGAAATTCTGTTTCTTTGTTATGGGGTGGGGCCACAACACAGTAACAAAGAAACAGAATTTCTGGAGGATGAGGCCCAGAAATAAAGATTTAAGAAGATTCCCAGGTGATTCTAATGTGCAGCCAAGGTTGAGAACCACTGCTCTAAAGCAATCAAACCACGAGCCACAGATTTTCCTCCTGCGAATAGCAATTTTAATAGCAGGTGTTTTAGGCCAGCGGTCGCCAACCGGTGGTCCGTGAGGTCCGACAGGTTGGCGACCTCTGGTTTAAGGAAACCTTGGGAGTATCGGTTGCCAACCGGTGGTCCGAGGACCACTGGTAGTCCATGAGGTACGAAAGGTTGGTGACCACTGTTGTAGGCCCTTCCTAGTAAGGAGAGTTGATAACTCCTAGAATATTTCCTTTACTTTTTTCTCAAGCCTGGGCTTAAAGTCTCCTCAAATCCTTTTACTTCTACCTGCCATCTGATGCTTTGTTGAGCTTCTGCCCCACCATCCATACCTCTACCCCATTCCTCAAGCCCCAGACAAATTCACACATATTATCCACACACTTCCTTCTGTTCACAAGATTTCGGTTTCTCTAGCATTCCATTCATGTCACCCAAGTTCCAATAAATCATAAAATGTGCATTTTCAGACCTACATTTAAGTCAAGGCATATGAGAATCTTGCTTGTCATAGACATTGGGAGGGTGTAATGGCTGTGTCATTTCTCATAGTTTATTTATAATGATGCCTTGGAAAGACCTTATTAATTGAGCTCCTAAACAATGCCTCTTTATTTCTCCTTCCTCATAGCCCAACCACTCATTAGATTACTCTAAATGACCATTTGGTAGCAACCTGTGGCAGATATCGGAATTACTTAACAAATCACAGGGGTTCTATGAAATTGCATAGGGAAAGGCTTTGCAAGTGAAACATCCACTAATGAACTCATCACTCACAGCAGTTCCCAATCAGGCAGCCTTCCCTGGTCAGCCCTCGCCTCTCCTCCATCCCCTTGTGTCACCCAGTGTCTTGGTGGGCGTGTGTCAGGCTCTTGATGATTTATGAAGGGTAGACGTCTGAAAAATTCAATGTAAGTCAGCTGCAAAGTAAACCTAGAAATTCTGCAAAGGGTGTAGGATTTCATGAAGTCAATGGAATGGATGTTAGAAGGCTGTCTGAATTGTGTGCATGCTGTTTGGCAAAACAGGATTGCAGAGTACCCTTAGTAGGTGAAGGATTAGAATATAAGATACTTAAGAGAGTCCTACGGGAAAAGTGAGGAAGACTACATATTTTTTTCAAAAATGACTCTCTTATTTGCTCTTGCTGTGAAAGTTAAATATGAAATTAAGAATGCCCCATTGTGCAATCACATAATTGTGTGGAAAATGATGCCCAAGGAATCAATACCTGATTTATTTTTTGCTCTGGAATAATAATGACCTAAAGTTGGTTAAATATAAGCCCAAAGAAATCAATTTCTATAAATTTTCATTTTAGTTTTTAATGGAGGCCCCCAATAAACCTGTTTGTCACTGTTTACTGTGACATTTGCTTTTAAGTAGATTTATTCCCTAGAGGTCAAGGTCAATTACCCTTGGTGACCAGAGAACCTGCCCACAGGAAGCTTATGGTTTTATTGGGGAGGTTTTCCTAACACAATGGGGACAGGACAGTGAGGAGGGAGAGGATCCCTTTGCCAGGTTGCAACTATGGTTCAGCTGGGGCAGGAGGGGATGGGAAAGGAACATGGAAATGTCTTCCACATGCAGTCAAGATCGGCAGAATCCTTAGTCTGGTCCTGCCTCACTTTCTTTGGCTTCCAAGATGACTCCCCTTTGACACAAACCTTCCTGCCTGCTGCTGGCAGGAACTTGTTGACAAAGCTCTTTTGTCTTGCTTCCTGAGGGAGCTCATGAAAAAGCATGTTGGGAATTCAGCAAACCGCGGGGGCTCTAACTGCTCCTGAATGAGACGGAATTAGAAAAATTGAAAACTTAATTTTCCATTAGTGTACATTCAGGCAGGAGTGGGAGGGATCAAGGGGTGGCAGCTTGTTTGGTTAACACGCTTTTAAGAAGACATGCTTGCAAGCTATTAGTTAGCTTCCTCCTTCCCTCCCCTTCCCACCGCTCTAAGTGCTCCTAGCTCTTTAAAATGGACTCAGATGCAGGTGGCAGCAGCCACAGCCACTGGCAGTGGGATGCAGCCTGTCATCTCTGAGACTGGCTTGTGGGTGTCACCCTTGCTGTGGACCCTCTGAGGCCACAGGTGAGTTTGCCACCTCTAAACATGCGTGCCCTTCTAATGGCTTTAAAAAACACATTCAGATAAACATTTTTGTTCTCTCTCCAACATATTTGACATAGTATGAGACTCACTATTAGGCAAACATATTTAGTATAGGTTCAAAATCTGGGGTTTGTGGTGAGAGAGTGGGGTTGAGGTGAAGAGGGTGAATGTTACAAGGGATGGATATGGAGTTGGGTATAGGTGGTGGCAGAGGCTGCCACCGATCAGGGACACGAATGGTTTTATGTGTCCTCTGGTGTCCTTCCTTCCTGGTTTTACTCAGCTCTCACCCTTCTCTCTGTCTTTCTCCCTTTTCCCTTTCCCTCATCAGACTACTTTACCAGGCTCAGAGTGCTATGGCAACCACAGCCTGTTCCCTCGGTGAGCCCTGTCTTCTCCCAACACTTTGGTCCGGCAATGAGTTAACTGTGGAGGTGCACATATCCAAAGTGCTGCCTCCACGAACATGTGAGCACGTAATGTAGTGTGTTTCCAAGCACTCAAACAGAAAATCATTAATTCAATCAGCAGAGCAATAACTTCATCAGGAACTTCTTTCTGTCATAAGTAGGCTGGAGTAAGTGTGCGGCAGTGATTAAACATGGCATTTCAGACGCCACAGCAAGGCTGCTGTCTTCTTGGCAGGTGCTTGTCATCTTTTCATGTTCCTTCCAACTCCACTCCGATCCAGCAAAGCTGGCTGCGAATGTTGGGAGCAAGTGTTTCATTTTTATAACAGACATGGCCACTGGCTCCGCAGATCTGTCACTAGGGTTTTCCTGACTTCTTCGTCGACCTTGGCTCACATCCCAGCCCCAAGCTCCTGGTGACATCTGCTCCCTACAGATTGCCCTGAACAAGTACCAAGTGCCTTTACCTAAGG